CCATTTAAGTCTTCACAACTATATAAACTCATTTGGTACGGTTCTAGATACAAAGACAACGATCTCACTAAATTAGGCCTTTATAGTTTGGACGATTTTCAGTGTAGTCCACACTAAAACGACCATAACTTCCTCTACGGTTGGAATTTTGGAATGAAATTGGTATCATTGGAAAGAAGACTCAAACTCCTTGAACTTAGACCCAAATTTAACCCAATTTGGTTAATAAATGAGGGAGTTATGACTATTTGAAGTCGGCCTAAAAATCTGATGTGCTACAGGCATCAGCCGGTTGAAACCATATGTCAGTCAGCCGAAAACAAGAGGGTCAATCAGTCGACAGAGATAGTCAGCCGGATGAACAAGGTTTCAGCGATGCCAACTCTCTGTTTTGGCCAAAATGAACTATCGGTCGACTGGCTTATATCACCAACCGGCTGACGCTTCTTGGAAGTTCAAAATTGGCCTTTTTCTGGTTACTTAAGGCATCGGATACACCCGTGGCATCAAGGGTGACCTCAAACAAGTCTAAAACCTGTCCCAAATGATACAAAAATATGCATGAACATAAAAAAAGAAAAAAGATAAGACACATCCTATTAATACATTCTCCAACGTAAAATGACATAAAAACCCCTTAACTACCACACCATTCCCAAACATTCATCCATTGCATATTGTTACAAAAATAATGCATAAGGTTAATATTTACATACTCCAAAAGAATAGTTTACGTTGTCGTCTAGACATTTACAAAAGAATAACATGTTTGGTTCAAAGTTTACATGATTACCCCTTTAATACAAAAGATACAAAAGTTTTACAAAAATTACATTCTTGTCAACCTTAACTACACTTGTGAGGGTCCTTCGTCAACTACATCAACTTGAAAAGGGGAGAGAGAATGCCACCATGGAAGAGGAATGAGTGGTCTTTTCGGGCGACCTGATGGTGACGACAACTATGGTGACGCCAGAGATAACAGGGAAAAAAACCCTCCTTACCAAGTACTGCAAAGTGATATATTTGTGTATCCTGGTTATGATCGGGAATCAATGATGGCAATGAAGAAAAGGGTGAGGAAGGAAATAAAGAATGGTTTAACTATAGGATAGAGATGGATGATGAGAGATATTATCGATAATTGAGATTCTTTGCTAATTTGGATTCTGTAAGGATAGTTTTGCCTTTAAATTTTTATCGTTCTAAGTGTAGTATGGCTATAGTGGCACATCACCATCAGCTTGACTTTTGAGCCTGAGTATTCGGTGCAAGTATCATTTTTCATTAGATTTTAGTTACCAAAATTTAATATAATAGTTTTAATGGGATCAATCCTAACGAAATAATGTGTGTGAGTGTAATGGGATGTGAGTGTATTTCTTGCCAAATACATACATATAACATTCCGTTGATACTCTTTTGTAAACTTGTCAACGGATCGGATTCTGATCGGATTTGGCTTGATCCGATTCAAACCAGATAAGTATTTTACTCGATCCGATCTGATAAAAGTGAATTTTTAAAAATTAAAATAAAAAAAAAAAAAAAAAAAAAAGATCATTTACTCTTTGTTAGTGAATAAATATTATGATATTATTAATATGTATATGAGGAGATTTATTAGTATATGGGTGAAAACACCACACTATTATACATATAACATTATGGTTTTTTTTTTTTTTTTTTTTTTTTTACAACTAATACAAATGTATATATATAATATAAAATATTATTATATATAGGGTTAAGTGCAATTTAACCCCCTCGCTATATAAAAAATGTGCAAAAAACAACCCCTAGTACAAAAAAAAAAAAAAAAAGGGTGCTTATAACTCCTTGTATTATCCATATTTTGAGCAATTTGTCCCCTATTGAAAAAATGTGTTGAAAAGTAGCCGTTGATGATATTATTTTTTTTTTCTTTTGAAAATCCAAAATTAACCTTTTTGTGTAACAAGAATGCCCCTACCAATTTTGTTTGGATGTACTTGAAAACCTATCCAAGGAAATCTCTCTCTACTCGTAATATCTTTTTCCTCTCTCCAAAGTATCGATGTTGTCGTTTAACAATTTGTTACCAAGAAGACATCATATATATATATATATATATATATATATATATATATATATATATATATATATATATATTATGATACCATATTTCATTTGGTTTGTGAAGTGAGATTCCGGGCACCTGTACATCATTTTTATTTTTTTGAATATTATTTATTTTAATATATATATAGAAACATAATCTTTCCTACAAATATTCTTTTCTAATTTTATTACTTCTATATATTTTACTTCCATTCCTAAAACTCTCCTTCTATAAGAAAATAAAATATTTCTCTCTAATTTTTTTTTTTTCTCTAAAATTTCTCTCTGTGTTGATAGTTTTTTCTTTATCTCTAGAACAGAGCACCCGAAATCACTCTAAGAATTTCATAGTATCAGTAGAGAGCACAACCTGGGAAGACATTGTTTGACCCGTTCCAAAAAAATCAGCAATCCAATTCCAACTTGTTCAAAAAGATCAAGAAAAAAATTAAGAACCGGTTACAAATTTTCAAAATAAATAGATAGAAATTATAAAAAAAAAAATGGATATATGAAAAATAGAGAGAAAATTACTTATGATATTCAGAGAAGGCCACGTCAAAGCAATACTAAGAAGTTTGGATCAATTCTATGAGTATTTTTATTTGTGTGGACTTGTTTATTTTTATTTAGAAATTCTTACACGTATATATCCCTTCTTCAATTTTAACTTGTGCACAAATACAACATACCATTTCTTACTAGTTAAGCAATGTTGTTGTGAATAGTGTACATATACAGGGCAAGCATGAAAGTGAAAAATCATATATGACTTTATGGATAATTTTTAGGGGTGGCAACAGATCGGATCTGATCGGATTGGATTAGGCATCAATCCTGATCCGATCCGCTCACAACGGATTGAGAGATTCTAAATCCGCCACCAATCCGTTAGCCAACGGATCGGATCGGATTCGATCCGTGAAATGGCAGATCGGATCGGATCCAATCCGCGGACTAAATATGCCATAACAATCTCCATGAATCTCCTTAACATCTGCAAAAGTATAAAAATTTGATTAAATTAACAATGAACTTTAAATCAGAAAACCACAACACAGTGAGGCAAATGGTAAAGAAGATCAGAAGAAGAAGGAGATGGGAGAGAAGATTAGAAGAAGAGAGATGAGACGGGTTTTTTTTCACCGATCGGTGGCTAGATTTCGATTTGGTGAGGGCCGCTTTTCTCTTTGGTCTTCCTTGAGTTCTCAGGCAGAGTAGATCAGAAGGATTAATTCAATGAAAACGGAAGAAAGAGTAAAGTTACTCGAAAGGGGAAGATGTTTTGATACAAGATCTGGCCAAACCTGGTTAGGAAGCCAAAAGATTCCATTTTGTTAGAGATGCAAAAAGTCCACTGCTTTTCAAAGTCTCGTAAATTTCAAGGTGACGTGGTCCCAACACTAATATAGTAATATTATATATATAGGATTGTATAATTGTATATGGTATAATTGTATTATAAAATATTTTATATATATATATATATATATGCTACGGATTGGTCACGGATCAGATTCACAGATCGGATCAGATTTTTAACAGCCTAATCCGTGATCCGATCCGTGAACTACGGATTCAATTTTTTTGAATCCGTCACCGATCCATGGCTCTATCAATCCTATCCGATCCGTACGGATTGGATCAGATCGGATCCATGAATTTGCAGATTTTTTGTCCACCCCTAATAATTTTGACATTTTATATATATATATTTTTTTTTAATGATAAAGTAACGGTTAATTTAGTAATTTTATTATTAAATTTAAGATTTGTCGGCATAAATGCACAAATTGAAAAAAGCAAGAGGGGTTTTTCAAATGATAGAGAGGTAATATATTATGAGAGATTTTTTTTTTTTTTTTTTTTTTTTTTTTTTTTTTTTTTTGGCACTTGACTCTTTTATATATATCTATATATAATATATATATACATACATATATATTTAATCCAATCCTATTGACATAAATCTATCTCTCATTTGTTAAGGAATTGAATAATCGAATTTAGATGGTAATCTAATTATCTAATTTTTTTTTTTTTTTTTCAATCCAGGATTCACTCTCCCACCACCATGGCCTACCTTACTCTAACCTATGCCGCAAAAGCCACCTTCCGGAGGAGAGTATTGTCGTCGAGGCCAAGAATGCTGTCGCCACGCCGCTTCAGTGCGACAGAGACATGCATGCTGACAAACCCCAGCGGCGCCGGTGATGAGAACGGAGAGGCCGTTTCCGAGCAGACACGACGAGCCGAGGACGGGACCTTACTCTCTCAAACCGGTTGACCCCCGAAGCTTTCTGGATACTCCGACTGGATGAGTAGCCCTCTCATGGTGGAGAGGGCCGAAGAAGACTAGAGGGTGAGCTTTGGTCTTCTTATTTTTTTATTTTTATTCTTCATAGGTTCTTTCATGTGGGTCTCATTTTGGTGTTATGGCCTAACTGAATAATTTTGTTTGCTCAAAATCATCCTTAACTAAATATTTGATGATTTATCACTATAATTTTTCTGATAATGTTGAATTATGAAATGTTCTTCTAGACCAAAGCGGTAAAAAGCTATCCATCTTTTTGTAAGTTTAAAATCATTAAATTTATTTTTCCCTGTCAAATTTTGTGATTATTACTTGATTTTGTACTGGGGTATGTTTTGATTTCATTCATAGATATACTGAAAGTGATGAATGTCAAATTTTGTCGATATTGTTTGGGTTCGTAATTATTGTTCGTAAGTTGGGAGCTAGCTGTTTGCAACTACTGATCTTAAAGTTCCCCATTTTTTCAAAACCTTTTCAGGGGTCACAATCTTACAGATGTTGACTGGAGATGAAAGAGTGTCCTTACCTCACATTCTCATAAGCTTTTCCGCAGTCTGTTATTGCATTTTTAGAGGTCACAGACTCATTGAAATACTCCTACAACACAAGGAAGTAACACTTCTTGTAAGGTAATCTCCACACTCTCTTTTGTACCTTACCATTGCGTGCAGAACAAATGATCATATTATTTATGTGAAATTATGGCTTGGATTTTGTTTCCCTCAGTGTCGCGCTGGGACTCGGTTAAGAAAATAAATTTTTCGACCAGTTTTGTCTTGAGAGTTGTGAACTCAGATATTAGGGTCTCTTGAATGTAATGTATAATGGTGTTAGGATTTGGGGGATTGTGAACTCAGATATTAGATTCTCGCGAATGTAATACATATGGTGTTAGGATTTGTGGTGTGAGATGAGACAATACTAAAAGTTGCTTTATAGAGTGAGGAAGGAAAAGTGTTAGGGGCCTGTTTTCTTTGCATAGTAAATGCACGTGGGCTATACCCGAATCGCGTAAATTTTTGTATTTGCGTAGTTTATATTTCTATTATTATTTTATTGTGTTCTTGATTTGCAACATTTGTTGGACTGTTGAAAAAAAGGTACTTTGTTGGATGAAGATTAACATCGAAAATGACCCTAGGACAATAAAATGACCACATGATTGCCGTAATGAACTCTTTTGAATTAGTACATATTTCACAAAAAATACATACTGCTTATATATCTGTTCATATTAAATTGGGAATTTGGGTTGTACAACTTATGTCACCATGTTGTTCATATTAAATTGGCATTATTGGAAAAAAAAATATTTTGAAAATAAATTAAACAAATCAATTCAAAGTGTTTGTTTAATTTGATAAAATTAAGTAAATTAAAGAAGAAATGTACAAATTTGGGCGACCCTTGTGATCCGCAGCAAACAAATGAATTGTAACACAAGTTTTTAATTGTATAATTTTCATATAACCTTTTTTTTATGAGCATATTGGTATTTATATTTTATTTTTAAGAAGAAAATAAGAGTAAAAAGCTTATACACTTTTAGAAAATGTTGTCCAATCATTGCCACTATTAAAGTCTGTTAAAATTGCATTCAGTTCACTTTTTATAAACATTAGATACCCATGATAAATATAAATAAATAAACAAACATTAGAAGCCCACCTCCCTTGACTTGACTTGATTCTATCATCATCAATAATGCCTGCTTCTTTTTGTGCAGCTTCACAAAGAAATAAACTATTTACCACTAGTATTGGTTCTTACCTAATTTTAGGAGCTCAAGAGCATCTATTTTGATCAGCATCTTTAATTTCTTGTTTTTTTCAAAGGCAACCAGCATCCTTAATTTCTCCCAGCAAGCAAGCAGAAATGGAGATTAAGGAACATCCACTGCTTCCTTTTTCTTTAGGTGAGAAAGGTCTGCAGCTTCCTGTTTCTAACCAAGAAGAAATTGATGGAGCTTTTCAGCGTCTAGAAGCCGTTCCTCATAGCATTGTCACTGAAATCCTGGAGAAATTGCCTTCTCAGATTCTCAGGGTGCTTGGAGTGGAGTGGGGCGTCAAGGATGCACTTGAGAAACTCGGAAGCATAGTTTTGACAACCACACCGGTGCTTACTGATGCAGCCAGGAAGAGAATGGAAAACGAGGAGATCGGTGAGTGGCTCGAAAAGTTCATTCTTGCAGTTTATGATGCCGATGACTTGGTTGATGACTTCTCCACTGAAGCTCTGCAGCGCAAAGTAATGGTTCAGGAGGATAAGTACTGGGGAACAAAGAAGGTACGCATTTTCTTTTCGAGCTCCAACCAGCTTGTTTTTCGATTTAAGACGGGTCGTAAATTTAAGGCCATTAGGAAGGTACTACGTGCCATTGCAGAAAACAGGATCTATATTAGCCGATTAACTAAAATAGATCATGATGAAAGATGCTCTTCTCTATCCACACAAGTTGGTGATGAGAATAACTACATGATGGAGTACTACAATAGAAAGGAAACACTTTCTTTTTTTGTGCAACCAGCAGCAGCAGCAGATCAAGAAGAGGAAGTAGTTATTGGGAGGGAGGAAGAAAAATTGGATATTGTAAATAAGCTAGTGGACTGTGAATTTGACGTGTCGGTCATCCCAATAGTTGGAACCGCGGGAGTAGGCAAGACCGCACTAGCTAAATTAGTATACAATGATGAGCGGGTCACTAATCATTTTGAACTGAAGATGTGGGTGTTCGTTTCTGATGTCTTTGATGTGAAAATGATTGCAAAAGAAATGATAGAATCTGCAACAGGCAGGAAACTAACTGAAAAACTAATTCATCATCCTATGGATGGAGTAATTCAAGATCACCTTAGGAAAGAAATTGATAGGAAAAGGTTCCTGCTTGTATTGGACAATGTGTGGAATGAAGGTGGTGATTTATGGCTACAGCCAGTGACGGACCCAGAAAATTTTGTGAGGGGGGGCGGCTTTTTAATTTGTGAGTACAAAATTATATGATGGGTTCATTTTTGTAATTTTAATAGGGTTTTTTTTATAAGTTTTAAAAATTTTAAAGTATAAAATGAAAAAAAAAAAAATCAGTGGGGCAAATTATAATTCTAGTGGGGGCATCTTCATAAATTATCAAAATATGAAGTATAAAATGCTAAAAAAAAAAAAAAAAAGAATCCAGTGGGGGCGAATTGTAATTTTAGGGAGGGCATTTTCATAAATTTTTTAAAAATTAGGGTATAAAATGAAAATATTAAAAATCTAGGGGGTACATCTGCCCCCCTGGTCACCTGCTGGGTCTGTGCCTGGCTACAGCTATCAGATCTCTTGATGGGTGGTGAGAGGGGAAGTAAGATATTGCTAACTACTTGTAGGGCATACAAAGTGGCAATTTATCCCACAATTCCACCATTACTTTTAGAACCCTTGCCATTTCAGGCATCATGGTCCCTGTTTAAGATCTCATTTAAACATGGGGAAGAGCAAAATACTGCGCCACATCTAGTTGAAGTTGAAGAGCAAATTCTAAATATGTGTCAAGGTCTTCCTCTTGCCATAAGGGCTTTAGGAGGCCTACTATATGCTCAAGATGCAGATGATGAGTTGTTGTTGGCTTCCAAAACCCTTGAACAAAAAATAAATGAAGAAAGGTTTTTTGTTTTACCTATATTGAGGTTGAATTACGACCATCTTCCTTCATATCTTGAGCGATGCTTTGAATTATGTTCCTTATATCCAAAAGAACGTGTAATTTATAAGAAAGACTTGATAAGGGTGTGGGTTGCTCATGGACTTATTCAGCCACTGGATAAAAATCCAGATCTGGAAGATGTTGGAGATTTGTATTTTCAGGACTTGTTAAGGAGGTCCTTTTTTCAATATGTTGAAAGAGACGAATGGGGTGATATAGTAAGTTGTAAAATGCATGATGTTATTAGTGACCTTGCAAGATTTGTTGCAGGAAAAGAGAACTTCGTTCTGAATTCAGATGCAAAAGATGTTCCTTCAACAATTCGTCATGTGTCATTTGCTTCCTGTGAAGGTATATCAATTGATATTCTGGCCGACTTGCGCAGGGCTAACAAGATACGAACATTTCTGTTGCATGGTCAACGTATAGGTATTGGTGAGCCAAACAATTTAGTTTCTGAAATACTAGAGCTAACAAGGTTGCGTGTGTTGGATCTCCATTGCTTGGGGATCACAACAGTGCCAAGTTGCATAAGCAAGCTGCAACATTTGAGGTATCTTGATCTTTCTGAAAATTGTGCTATCAAGAGTCTACCAAGTTCCATTACTTTGTTGGAATTTGCAAACGTTAAAACTCTCTGGTTGTTGTCATCTGGAAGAATTGCCAAAAGAGACTAGGAAACTGGTCAGCCTTAGGCATCTTGAGCTTGATGGATGTTGGTTTGACTCGTATGCCATATGGGTTAGGCCAGTTGACTTCTCTTCGGACATTAACACTTTTTGTATTGGACACAGACAACATTGCCTCTAAGCTCAGTGGTGATTTGAGTGAACTAAAAGGTATAACCAATCTAAGGGGAGAGTTAACGATTGACGATTGGGGCGACCGTGCTCAGCAAGCACAACAGAAGAAGCCAAAATCGAGGAAGCAAACTTTTTGAAGGAGAAACAACACCTTCAGTCACTGCAATTAAAATGGGCCAATGATGATGATGATGAGTTAGTGTTAATATTTGAAGGCCTCCAACCACACCCGAATTTGAAGAGGCTTTCAGTAACAGGGTATGGGAGTTTGAGTTTCCCAAGTTGGATGATGAGTAGTGGTTTATCCCTCCCAAATTTAGTCAAAATTACTATCGCGGCCTGTTCCAGATGCGAGCAACTTCCACAGTTTGGGCAACTTCATTTTCTCCAAGTTCTTGAACTTTCTCAGCTGGCTTCCCTAGAATACATAGACAACAGCAGCCGTACTAATGGTGGTGGTGATGAGTCACTTTCTTTTTCACCCTCATCATCAACAAGAGGAAGAGAACCAACGACAACATTCTTCCCATCCCTGAAAAAACTTTAACTCAATGGCTTGACTAATTTGAAGGGATGGTGGAGGTGTAAAGCAGAAGAACCAATGGCATTTCCTTCTCTTTCGGTATCAACCATCCAAAACTGTCCCAAGCTGGAATCAATGCCTCTGCATCCATGTGTTGAAGAACTAGAATTGATGCGGGTTAATGAGAAGCTAGTACAATAACAGTTCACAATGATGGCAACGCCAACAATTCCAACAACGGACCCAATATTGCCCTCTTCACTCTCTTCACCAGTTCCTCTTTCCAAATTGAAGTCTCTATGTATTCAGTACATTGATGATCTAGTTGTTGATAAAATAATGTATCATATACTATAGTATAATTTATTTAAATATTATTTGTAAATATAATATTTATTATAACAATCTATATATATATTTATATAGTTTAATATTAAGAAAATAAAACTATAAAAGAACCTGATAAAGTCGAGGCTAGAATTTAATTCTATAGCCTTAAGACAGATACGCCCCGCTACGGTGCTAACGGACTCTTCGGCGTCTATCTCCCAGGATACAACGACTTTTCTTCTTTTGGTAGTAGCACTTCAAACCAATGGAATAGGCAAACCGGCTCGGTGTAGTACTCTCTGTTGAACTCAGACTCGGAGACCAGGATTGAACCCTAACTCGGAGACCAAGATTGAACCGAAACTTGGAAACCAAGGTTCGAACCCAATCCAAACCAATTTAGGTTGAACCCAAACCAGTGGCTGAACCGAACAAAGAAGAATTAGAAGAAGAAATTCAGAAGAAGAGAAGAAGATTTCTGAAATCGGTGTGAATTGAAATGAACCCAATGATGGGTATTTATAGGCTTGTTGGTGCCTATTCTGAATGGGTGCAACCATTGTTGACCAATCAGAATTAAAAATCTGTTAGTGGTTTTTAATTTGTAAAGGGTGCAACTCTTGGTTCAAAATTAAAACTGAATCCTTTTAATTCTGATCCAGCCCAGCAAGCAAATAATCCAACTCGGCCATTAATTCAGCCCATTTTGATAAGTCCAGTAACAAAATAAAATTACAACCACACAGGCCCATCCCAACTTTGGGTAAAAAGTTAAACGCGTTTCACAATCAAGCCCCGCCTTACCTCGGACCGGCGGCGCGCGTGTGGTAGTTGGATCTAGGCTAGCCTAGGTCCTCCTCCTCTTAAAAATTTGGGTGCCCTTGGGCCCAAATCCAAATCCCATACTAGACATATATATACTCAAGGTTGCTTTGCTACTTTTTCGATGTGGGACAAGCATTTCCCACTTTATTCACACCCATTTAGGCTTTATAAATCACTTACTTTGGAGCCAATTTCTCATTCACCCGGAAACGGATTTGAGAAAATAAATATACCACGTTCATCTCCTCGCAGAGAGGAACGCGCTCGTCAATAGATTCGCAAAAAATTCTTAGCGGAATCTTTTTAAAAATCCTTCCAAAGTTTGCGTTTTCTAATGCCGTTTCCAACACTAGTTACGCTGCCAGAAAGGGCTATTGAAAGCCACACTTTTCTCCGGTTTCTTGAGATCTCTTGGTGTCCTAGATTAACTTCTCTCTCAGAAGTGATGTGGCATCTCACAGCACTCGAGAAGATGGAGATCAACGACTACCCGATGCTTGATTTGGTAGAAGATGATAATGGCATGCATTTCAAAGGCCTTAGCAACCTAACTTCTTTGAAGATTAAAAGAATACCAAAATGGGTGCATCTCCTTGTGGGCCTTCAACTTGTTACCACCCTCAAATCTCTTCATATTGAAAGGTGTGTAGAGTTGATTACTTTAAAAAATTCGATTGGCAAACTCGAATCACTTCAACGACTTGTCATTTTTTATTGCCACAAATTGACATCACTGCCAGATGAAATACAACATCTCACGTCCCTCATGTCACTGGTGATTGATGGCTGCCAAGAGCTTGATTTGTCTGATGGCTTTCAATTTCAAGGCCTTTGGAACCTAAGTTCTCTGACCATAAAAAGAAATCCAATGTTGGTGTCTCTTCCTATGGGTTTTCAGTATGATAGCTTTCTACAGTCTCTAGAGATACATATTTGTGAAAATTTGACAGCTTTGCCTTACTGGATTGGCAATCTCAAATCACTAAAACGGCTCTCCATTTACGGCTGTCCCAAATTGGCATCATTACCTGAGGGGATGCATGGCCTCAATGCATTAGAAGTTCTGAGTCTTCACAATTGTCACCCCAGTTTATATAAAAGATGCCATAAGGAAACAGGGGAAGATTGGCCTAAGATTGCAAACATCCCAAATGTTTCTCTGCGATAATTATGCTTACAACAATGGTATGCCAAATAATCTGAATTCTTTCAAGTCAATAAAACTCAATCTTGATCTTCTTTCTTTTTCTAGATTATTACGTTGTTGAAGTTTAGTTGATTTTCGTATGTGGTAGGTACACGGAACTAGATGGAGCACGCATTGCTAAATTCAAATCTATTTGACATATCTGATAGGAATGAGTATATCTGTGTTTGTGTGTGTAAATTGCATGTGCACTTTCCAGAAATGCTGATTCACCAAAAAGAGGAGATATAGGTCCGCTTTCTTGATCGTTGGGTCTATATCCTATAAAAATATATATTATAGTGAACACTATTATTCCAGGTACAAATTTCTTTCTTGTCATTTTAAATTTCTTTTGATTGATATTGTTTCTTTCCAACCAAAATTATTTAAATTGTCCTTTTTATTCAATTTCTCTCTCTCTCTCTCTCTCTCTCTCTCTCTCTCTCTCTTCACAGGATATGTTGGATTTTCAATTTGTGCACAAGCACATCATTGGGTATAGTTGTAAGATGTTTCTTCTCACCCCTTCCTTTCATTTATTTATTTTTTCGTAACTAAATGATGAAAGGCCAGCTAATCTATTTTCCTAGTTATGTTTCTTTAGACTTGAAAACAGCATTAACAAACTTATTCTATCTTTAAATGAACATCATTTGAGTGTCATCATAATAATGATCATCATCACTACTTCATAATCATCTTCTATTAAAAGTTTATGTTAACCTTAAGGATTTCATCCAATGACAATCTAGAGGTTTTGATGATAACAAATCATTAATAGTATTTAAGGACTAATGTTTACATTGAGTGTTATAGATTATTCACATTCAAAGGATGACCTAAATGAAGCATGAAAGATCATTCCAAATATTCTATTATTCAAGATCATATCAAGAAAAGCAATGGATACAAAAAAGACATAAAGTTGCAAAGAAACAAATGCAAAGTCCATCCAAAGATAGCTTGGACTACAACGAGCAAGAAAGCAACTCAAAGAAAGAAAGAAAGCAAGTCTACCTAAAAGCCTACACGATCATGAACAAAGCGTGAAGAAAGGAGTAGATAGGATGGTGAGTGTTTAGGATTCAATGTCAAAATATTTATGAATCCATTTGAAACTCATCTCTATAGGACCATGCATATCATATCATCATCCATATGCTCCTATATCCATTAGCAACAGACTATGCACTTCATTTATATACAATTGACATATGTAGTCTTTGCTAAAAAGTGAGTTAGTTCAAGCTTGCATAAGCTTTGAAAGAACTTATCATTTGTGTTAGAAATGCTAAGACTATGCACATCAATCCTATAATTCATATTGGTCAACAATTAAGACATGAGAAGCCTTCATTACCATGAGTTGGTAACGGACATTAGGATCCCAGAATGCGCGTCATGAAAAATTGTGTTTTTGGCTAAGTGTGAAAAATGAATTTTTGAAATAATGATTATTTCAAAATAATTTTTCCCGATAATAACTCTTTATACTTCAACTAGCCTAAACTGATTTTATCAGAATTTTTAACCAAGTCTGCATTGGTCTACATAAGGATTCATTTTTATCAAAACTGTCGGAAATCCAAATTTGTATTAAAACTAAATTTCTACATTTTGATTTAGTTGGATTTCAATTTTTTAGTATTTTTTTTTGAATCCAAATGGGGGGAACTTCCTTATTTACATTATAAACTTAAAGTAAATGGACATATAAATACTGTAAAGACATTTACTTAAATGTTTTCAATGGAAATAAGGTATGTGCAGAAGTCCTGTGCACAGTACACAGACTGTTTCATCTGTCAAATATAGAACAAAATTTCATGAAGCAGCAGGTTCATTTCGGCAGACCGAAATGCATAGGCAACATGAACCGGTCGACCGGTTCTATCAAAGTCTGAATCATAGCTTCTAAGGTATTCCGGTCTACCGAAATACAGGACCAACTTAGTTCGGTCTACCGAACCTAGCAAATTAAAGAACATCACTTGAGTTTCAGATGACCGAAACTAAAGAGGCAAATGAATCAGCAGAGCCGATTCTCACAGAATGTTTTAGAACAAAGGAGGAAGGAGTTTCGGTCGACCGAAACAAATGGAGTTTTTCATCGGTCTACCGAACCAAGGCTAGTGGTCAACCTCAAACCAATTCGGTCGACCGAACCTCAAGAGTGATTTATTTCGGACGACCGAACCTGCGCAGATTCAAATCTGAACAGCTATTTTGCCTTGAACCCCGTGCACAACAGACATATTTTCAAATTAGCTCATCAAAACTCTATAAATAGAGCTGGGGACTTTGGGATTAAGGGTTGCTACTATAGAGAAACATCATATAGCATCCAAAGAGCTTTTGTTCTTTATCTTATAACATCCCATATTATTAGAAGAGTATTGTGCTTCATTGTATTCATATATATACTCTAGAGTGAGCTAAACTTTGTATATCAAATCTATGAGAGATTATTGTGAGCTTTGATTTGCATATCAATCTTTGAGAGATATATTTGTATGCAACAAAATTGATCTTCATTTGTAAGAGCTGGTGTGGCCCAAGGAAGAAGAAGCAAGCTAGCTTCAATTTGTAAGGGTTGGTATGACCCAAAGGAAGACTAAGAGAGGTTGTCTTTTAGCAAAGTGAAGTAAGGAGTTGCTTCATGTAAAGGTTTGCTCTCCACCCATAAGGAGGTACACTAGTGGATTGGAAAGTCTCAAGAGGGGTCTTGAGCCGAGGAGTAGGAGTTTCCAAACCTCGCTAAAATCGCCGTGTGAATGTTTGCAATCTCTCTTCCCTTATCTCCTTTATATTTACACCCCCCCCCCCCCCCCCCCCAAGAGTCTATACTTGGGCAACAGTTTATATAGTTTATATTTGTATATAATTCTTATGAACAGGGAAAGAGCTCTATTGTTCCCCAATATAAGCTGCTAAGTTATTAGAATGCAAGATATGGACCCATGCCCAGATGGGTACTTCATCAAGTTTACTTAAAGCTAGAAGGTTATCTTTTCAAAGCTCCACTTTTGGGGAAGTGCCAGGGTTAGGAGAATTCAGATAAAATTAGCTAGGACTGTCAAGGATGTTTAACACACTCAATTTTGCAATAAGAATTGTTTATCTTTCATTTTCAATAAAATTCAGATAAAATTAGCTAGTCTTTCTTTAATATTTGTTGATTAACTCAAGTTTGTGTGGTAGATATCCCACCATTTGTTGGTTAACTCAAATTTCTGTGGTTAGATATCCCACCATGGTATTGGTACATCCTAATTACTTGGGACCAGTGGTGATTGAATCAGACATGTTTACTAGGAGGAGGTGTGGGAAGGGAACCTGCACGTTACTTTTTATATAAATCCTAGTTGTAGTAAGAACTCCTGTTCCAAATAGTCTGAGTGTTTCCCCTGCGCTGGAAGGGCTAGAGAACTGAGTCCGTACATGTATAATGTATGAACTGAATAATAATTTAGATCTTGACATGGTAAAGCAGAAAGGAGCATGAATTCACTAAGATTTGGAGAAGCCCAATCTGAACATATGATACTAAATGGTTCAAGAAACTCTCAAATTCATCTTTGGAGCATGAGCAATTTGATATTCCGTTGAAAGAAATAATTGTATGGCCCTCAAAAAAACAGATGGAAAATGACTACCTTTCTTTTGCAAAGATCTAGTATTCATGAAGTAGGATCCATACACATTCATCTCACGTAATGTGTAGCCTCAAAAGTTTTTCTTTCATGACCATCAACATTTGATCATGCTGATATTGTTGTAGTCATAATTGTTATTCTTCTTTCTAGTGACTTGGACTGAAGGATGACACAACTGAGTATGGGCAATTTGAGTGTTTCATTGTTCCTTCTGGTGATGGAAAATTTGAGTTTTTGGGCATGTAAGTCGCATTACTTTCTTAGATCTTAGTCCTTTCAATTTTGCTTTTTCGATCTTGATTTACCGATTTCATTTTGCCTTTAGTATGTCCAGTGTCTCCCTCTTTACTCCTGAAAGCTTCTCCACATTGTTCGAGGGCGCCCCAAGTATTTGAAAGATGCAAAAGGGTAATTGTGATATTGGCGATGTTTCATGTATTGGACCCCCCAAATGGGCAATACTTGTTGCAATATTGTGTAGAATTTACTATAATTAAGTTCCTTAATACTGTTTTCCAATTAAGATCTGTTTCAAAAATTGTATGGGAGATGCTGCTTGTAGAAATAGCTAAAAGTAGTTATCTGTGCAACAGCTGGGACATTACATTGTTGTCATGGGTGAAAAAGGACATCGTAGTCACACCTTTGGTGTCTATGCCAATTCTATTCTTCATTTCTTTTGGCAGTCTTATCCTCCACCCATATCCTTTTTGAGAAGTGAAAACATGAGTCGAAATTGGTGTTGAAAGAGAAGGTAACAGAGAAGACTATGTTTGGGAATTTTTAATCTCCTCTCAACTTGTAACTATATAACAAAAATGTTGGAGTTAACGTTGATAAACTTGAACAAGTACTTGACTTTATGTGTAATTCCTTTATTATAAAATACTTGTAAGGCAAGAAATTTCTATTCTCTAGCTACAAGTCTTCCCCAATTCACCTATAAATAGAGGTGGTTATTGTAAACAAAATCAAGAGAGAATGTAATGAAAGAGATGTAGCCTTTTGGGTTTTGTGTGTCGTGAATGTAAGCCCTAGTGGCTAAACTACTTATATCATTTTGTTCTTCATTTTCTATTTCTCTCTTCAACTTTTATTTTTCTTTCAACACCGTATCAAAGCAGGTTTGAGTCAGTACAAAAGCCTTCCATTTTTGGTTGAAATCGGGTCGCAAGCGACCTGGGCCGAAATAAGATTTGGACCACATCATCACAAACACCAATCTAGCCCCTTGACAGTGTTTGAACTTGGCAATCGAGAGTGACCTTAGTCATTATATGAGCTGGATTCTCTATTGTTCCAATCTCTCTCATCTCTAATGAAGTGCAACTTGATATTAACGGGTTTGTTCATCTATGAACATCTACTTTTTAGTCTTGCGACTTGGGGCGAAACAAAATTTTGGCCATACCATCACTAATTGTTTAGTTATAGAGAAAAACAGTCAACTAATGGTGACTTTCTCGACTTACCATATGCCCTTGCCTCTCTAAAGTATTCCTGTAATTCCTCATTGAGTGATATTGAAAAGGAACGGGAGGTGATACACTATTCACCTCTAAGTAATAAAATTATTAGCCATTCCAGGGAAAGAGGATATTTTTCAAAGAGTTCCAACCCACTAAGGTCAAAGGTATTCCTCATGTCAAATTTTAGTGCACAATCATCTAGGTGAGGATGATTGTTTATTATAACCCCTAAGATAAGAGTATACTATCATTGATTTTCATACCATTAATGGATGTTGTTTAGGAGGCTTCAATGATGAAGGGCAGTATGAGATGAAATTGGTTGGCTATGAGCTTTAATGTGCACCAGAGTGTGGATTTGACATTTTGGGACCATGGCTATACAAGTGGAATTGGCTTGTTTAAGTAACTTACCATTAAAGAATAATTTTTTAATAGTTTTGGGTTATGTTTAGCTGCATGGAATTGGAATTGGAATTGAAATTTGAGAAAATTTTGGTTTAATTTTTTGAGTTGTTTTTCTCCAATTCTATAAATTATAATTCCAAGGCGTCAATTGTTGGAAAGGGGGGCGTTAAAAACATAAATTTTGAATGAGATTTTGAATAGATTCCGCTAAGAATTTTTTGCGGATCTATAGACAAGCGCGTTCCTCTCCGCAAAGAGATGAACGTGGTATATTTATTTTCTCAAATCCATTTCCGGGTGAATGAGAAATTAGCTCCAAAGTAAGGTGTTTAATAAGCCAAATGGGTTTGTAATATTAGTCTCACATCAGAAAAATATTAAAACCAAAAAACACCATGAGGCCTATATAAACCCCCCCTTGGGTTCATTCCAAAGCACTCCAATTCATAATCCTTTTCTCTAATTCTGAATTCTCTCATTCCTCTCTTCTTCTATAAGTGTCTGTGGGTATGAGCCCTTGTCTTTGGGTTCGAGCCTTAGTCAGTCACTCCGAGTCCGAGTTCGAGTCAAAGAGTACTACACCGAGCCGGTTCGCCTATTCCTTTGATTTGCAATGCTACTACCGAAGGAAGTAAAAGTTATTGTATCTTAGGAGATAGACGCCACTGAATCCGTTAGCACCATAACGGGGCGAATCTGTCTTAAGGATATAGAATCAAATTCTAGCCTCGACTTATTTCCAGGTTCTTTTATTTTGTTTTATTTTATTTTATAAGATATTATACATATATATATATATATATATATATAATTTTATAATAATTATTATATATATATACACATTATATTTATGCATAATATTTAAATAGTAATATTATAGTATATAGTTAGACCGCATATTTTTGGACTACAATCTTAAGACAGAATCGGCCTATACTATAGTTTAATTATTTAAATATTTTTGTTATTTATTTCTGTAAATTTGATCGTGGTCCGTATATTTAATATATAACAGATGAATGACAAGTACAAGTACTATCATGCCTAATATTCCCGTCAGCCATGGGAAGAAGCCCAAAAAATTTAATAGGGCGGAGTTTAAAAGGTGGCAAGAGGAAATGATGCTCTACCTTACAACTCTAAATCTGAACAAGTACCTAGCTGAAACTGCCTCAGTGCTAGAAAAGGGGGAAACTGACATTATAAAGCTAAGAGCTGTTGATGTATAGAAGTATAGAGACTTCCTATGCAATAACTACATCCTCAATGAATTAGATAACACTCTACTACTAAAGAGCTATGAGAGTCACTAGACAAGAAATAAAAAAAACTGAGGATGCTGGCTTGAAGAAGTTCAAGGTCGGATGATTTCTGGACTTCAAAATGATAGACTCCAAGAAAGTGTAGGAGCTTCAGCTGATTCTACATGAGTTAGATGCTGAGAAGATGACTTTAAGTGAATCTTTTCAAGTAGCTTCAATCATTGAAAAGCTAATGCTTCTTCTGCTTATATGATTGAGTCATTTGATGTGTGGCATGGTAGGTTAGGAAATGTTAATTATGATACGATTCGTAAATTAATTAACATGAATTCTATACCTAAATTTAGTATTGATTTAAATAAAAAATGTCAAACATGTGTAGAAGCAAAATTGACTAGAACCTCATTTCACTCTATAGAGCGAAGTACTGAAACTCTAGCATTAAGTCACAGTGATATCTATGACTTTAAATCTGTGCCAACCAGAGGTGGGAAAAAGTATTTCATTACTTTTATTGATGATTGCATAAGATACTATTATGTATACTTGTTAAGAAGTAAAGATGAAGCCTTGAAAATGTTTAAACATTACAAGAATGAGGTTAAGAATCAACTTAGCAAGAAGATAAAGGTGTTTAGAAGTGATAAAAGTGGTGAATACGAAGCACCATTTGCTGACATTTGCTTAGAACATGGTATTATTCACCAAACTACCGCTCCTTATTCATCTCAACAGAACGGTGTTACTGAACGAAAAACCGTACCTTAAAAGAAATGATGAATGCATTGTTGATAAGTTTTGGTTTAACCCAAAATTTGTGGGGGGAAGCTTTGTTTTCTGCTAATAATGTTCTCAACAAAATACCTCAAAAGAAAACAAATGTGACACCTTATGAATTATGGAAAGGTCAAAAACCTTTCTATAAATTCTTAAAAGTGTGGGGGTGTCTAGCTAAGGTTATGGTTCCTACTTCTAAGAAAGTTAAGGTAGGACCAAAAACCTGGTATTTTCATAGGCTATGCACAGAATAGTAGTGCATATCGTTTCCTTGTGCATAAATCAGACATTCCTGACATCCATGTCAATACAATTATTGAGTCAAGGAATGATTGTTTCTTTGAGGATATATTTTCTTGTAAAAATCCTCTTAAAAGAAATCATAATATTACTAATAGCAATATACAAGAGAATATAGACCAAAAGTTTATAGATGATGAAAATAAGGAAGAATCTAAACGTAGTAAAAGAGCTAGAACGTCTAAGTCATTTGGTCTTGATTTTCTGACATATATATTGAAGAATGAGCCACAAAGTTATAAGGAAGCTATGTCTTCTCCTGAAGCTCCTTTATGGAAAGAAGTAATAAATAGTGAAATTAAATCCATCATGCAAAATCATACTTGGGAGTTGGTGGATCTTCCTCCTGGTACTAAACCTTTAAGGTATAAGTGGATTTTCAAGAGGAAGATGAAGCCTGATGGTTCAATAAAAAAATATACAGCTAGGCTTGTTGCTAAGGGGTACAGGCAAGAAGAAGGCTTGGATTATTTTGATACATATTCACCAGTCACAAGAATAACATCCATTAGATTATTGCTGGTTATCGCGGCATTGTAAAATTTAGAAATACATTAAATGGATGTTAAGACTGCACTCTTGAATGGTGAATTAGAGGAGGAAATCTATATGGAACAACCTAAAGGTTTTGTTGTTCCAGGAAAAGAAAAGAAGGTGTGCAAACTTGTAAAATCCTTATATGGATTAAAACAAGCACGTAAACAATGGCATGAAAATTTTGATAAAGTGATGTTGTCAAATGGTTTTAGAATTAATGAGTGTGATAAATGTGTTTATGTGAAAAACACTCAAAATGGATATTTCATTGTGTGCCTATATGTGGATGATATGCTAATAATAGGTAATAATGATGTTATTATCAAAACTACTAAAAAGATGTTGACTAAAAATTTCGGTATGAAAGATTTAGGCATAGCTGATGTCATACTAGGAATCAAGATTTCCAGAACATCAGATGGTCTAGTATTATCTCAATATTACTATATTGAGAAAATATTAAAAAATTTTAATAAAGAAGATAGTAGTCTTATAAAGACTCCTAATGATGTAAATCTTTATTTATCGAAAAATACGGATCCTAGCATATCACAACTTGAGTATTCTCACATTATAGGAAGCTTAATGTATTTGATAAATTGCACACGACTAGACATAGCATACTTAGTTAATAAATTGAGTAGATATACAAGTAATCTAGGAAATAACCATTTGTAACGACCCGCTCCACCACATGGTATGATATTGTCCGCTTTGGGTCTGAGCCTGCACGGTTTTGCTCTTGGGCATCACCCCAAAAGGCCTCACACCAATTGGAGATGACACACTTACATATAAGCACTTCACCTTTCCTCTACCCAGGCGATGTGGGACTGTGCACCCGTAGCTCACAAGTGTGGTAACCTGACAGTGTCTCTCGCACCCGCCCACGGCACACCCGCCCACAAGGTCATCACAATCCACCCCCCTTGGAGGCCCGACGTCCCCGTCGGCACACTTCTGGCTGGGTCAGGCTCTGATACCATTTGTAACGACCCGCTCCACCACATGGTATGATATTGTCCGCTTTGGGCCTGAGCCCGCACGGTTTTGCTCTTGGGCATCACCCCAAAAGGCCTCACACCAATTGGAGATGACACACTTACATATAAGCACTTTACCTTTCCTCTACCCAGGCGATGTGGGACTGTGCACCCGTAGCTCGCCAGTGTGGTAGCCTGACAGTGTCTCTCGCACCCGCCCACGGCACACCCGCCCACAAGGTCATCACACTAT